ATAAGCTTATTAAAGTTTTAAGAATAATAAGTAGTAAAGGTAAGTAAAAATTTACTATTTACGCTAAGTAGGTAATGCGTATATATAGGCTACTTATACTCTTTTACCTTAAGTTTTTTATTTAAAACTTACTACCTACCTTAACTTAATAACTATACCTATACTATGTTATTATAGATATTAATTATATAATATGTAATAGATACTATTAAAAAAGAGCTTAATAATATCCTAGAGAGCCTACTACTAGCCCTAGAAAATAACTCTCTAATAGGTTTTAAGTATTAAGAGTAGTTTAATTTAACTAAGGTATTAAATATATTTATTTATTAAAGTAAATACTTACTTATATAGAAGTTTAATTATAAGAAGTATAAAGTTTAAAATATCTTTATATAATACAGTTAAGCTAGTACTTAAAAAGGTTACCTAATAAATTTTAGAAAACTATTTATAGGTAATCTTAGTAATAGTAATTATACTATTACTTAGAGAAACTAAACTACTTTACTTAGTAAAGAAGAGAAAGCGCTTCTTACTACTAAAGCTATAGATTATACTATAAAGTATTAGCTTAACTAGTAACTTAAAAAGATAGATTAATATATAGCTATAAGTAAAAATAAGTAGGTAAAGTATTTTAAGAAAAAACTTAAGGAGCTAGTATAAGATTACTTTAATAATTAAAAGAGTAGTAAGTTAATATAGTTATTTATTATATAATCTTACTAATAAACTCTAGCTAAGTAGTTAAAGGCTAAGCTTAATAGGGTCTATAAGAAATAGAAAGATCTATACTAGAAAGTTAATATATGCTAATATTAATAAGTTTTATAAAAGGTTACTTAAGTAGGCTAGAGTAGTATAAGTACTAAACCTTAATCTTATACTTAACTATACCTATTTAGTACTAGTAGTGCCTTTAAATAGATTTTATATAATACCTATAAAAAAAAATTAGTAAAGTTAAATAACTAATCTTTTAAGAGTAAGGGTATAAAAGAAAAGTAATAGGCCTTTATTACTAGGCTTACAGTAGAAGAATTAGTAATAGTAACTAGTAAAGATTAGTTATAAGTTTAATATATACCTTTATTATATTTATATACTAATAGTAATAGGTAACTTAAACCTATACCTATTTATAAACTTCTAGGTATAAATATCTCTACTTTGCGTAGTAATCTTCTATATATTTAAAGAAATAATAGTAATAAGTATAAAGAAAAGGTTAATATTAATTTAGAAATTAATAAATACTATAACTAGGGTAAAAATAAGTATAAGAGCGTTAATAAGTATAATAATAAGACTAATTTTAAAGGCTTTATAAATTTTAAAGGCTTTTTAGATAATAACACTAAGGTTAAAAGCTTAGATTAGATAGTAGTAATATTAGCTAATAGTTACGTATAATAATATAACTTAAAACCTATAATATTCTTTAAATAGTAACTTAGATAAAATAACCTAATAGTAAAGTAGATATAAAGCACTAGTTATAAGGTATTCAACTTAGTATTTTACTAACTTCTAATAATTAGTTTAACTTCCTTAGCGTATATTATTATTAAAGTAAAGACTTAAAGTTTTATAGTTAAAGTAAAAATTATATATAATAGTAAGATTACTATAAGTTTATTTTAGTTTTTATTATAGCTTTCTATTATAGTTCTCTCTTACTATATTAAATAATACTACTAGATATATAATTAACTTATTACCTAAGCCTATTTAAGAAGTCTAATAATCTTATAAGCTACTACCTAGCCTTTATATATTAAGGTTAACTGCTCTCTAGATTGTTAAAGGTAGAGAAAAATTAAACCTAGAACTTATTAAATACCTACCTATAGTAATAGAGCAGAATAATA